CGGTGTGCATGAGTACCAACCACTGCGCCGAAGAGGTGGTGGAGGCGGTGTTCAAGGCACTGGCCACCGCCATCCCCGGCTCAGTCTCCGCCGGGTTCTCCCGCCGGTTGCGCTACGCCATTACGGGGTTAGACCCGAGGACCGGGAGACGCTTTATTTGGCATTTCTTCCTGGCCAGAGGCGGCGGCGGCGCCTCCAACGGCTACGACGGGTGGTCCAACGTCGGTGAGATTAATGTGGCCGGAGGCATACGGTCGCCCAGCATCGAGGTGACAGAGGAGCGTTTCCCGTTCTTCATCAGGCGCCATGAGCTACGGCCCGACTCGGGAGGAGTCGGCGCGTGGCGCGGCGGCCTGGGAGCAGTGTGCGACCTGGTTTATGAAGGGGATGGCCCAGCCCTGCTCAACACCGCGGGCGACGGCGTGGTGGTGCCACCCTTCGGGCTGTTTGGCGCAACCGACGGTTTGCCGCACCACTACACGATCGTTTCTGACGGCGCGGAACGGGTGTTGCGGTCCAAAGAGGTGGGGGTCGTCGTCAATCCCGGAGACCACATCATTTGCCTCTCCTCCGGCGGAGGCGGTTACGGCCGTCTGGAAGACCGGGATAAAGAGGCGTTGATGTGGGACCTGAAAAACGGTTATGTGACGGGGTGAGGGTTATGTAACTGGCTCAGGGTTATCTGACTGGGTGGGGATCGAGAACGGCGGTTGACCTATTCCTCCGCCACCACGTAGTTCCTCAGTGTGCCGATACCGCTGATCTCCACCTCGATGGTGTCTCCGGGAAACATGTCGCCGTCGGCTCCCTGGGTCCCCATCCACAGTACGTCGCCGGGGTACAGAGTTGCGTAACTGCTGAGTTCGTGAATCCAGGTGGCGGTGTCCCAGATCTGGTCGGCCGACGAGAAGTCCTCCCACACCTGGCCGTTGTGGCGCACGATGATGCGGAACCCCTTGGGGTCCAGATCGGTAACGATCCACGGGCCCAAGGGCTTCCAGGTATCGCAATTTTTCCCTCGGAACATGGTGCGGTCGGCCTGCTGCCAGGGCCGCTGGCTGATATCGTTGCCTATTGTGTAACCGAAGACGTAGTCCAGGGCTTCGTTTACCGGAACGTTACGGGCTTTCTTGCCGATAACCACCGCCAGTTGTCCTTCCGGCTGGACCGCGCCGGAGCAATTGGCCGGAACGACAATATTTTCTTCCGTCCCGATGATGGCGTGGACCGATCGATAGTTGGGCGAGGGGCGGTCTGGATATGAGGGAGGCGCTCCCCGGCGCTCCGCCATACCTTCCACGTGTCCCCGGTAATTGGGTCCGGCAGCGTACAGCATCGGAGGCTTGATGGGCGGCAGCAGCTTCACCTGGTCCAGGGCATAAGAATGGTTGGTGACGGCATAGTCCTCCAACGGGTTGCCCCACACCTCGGTCACGTTGTTTCCTTCCACTATGCCAAAACTCGTCTTTTGGTCTAATTGAAAGCGGCAGAAAATCATAGGTCATCTCCTTTTGAGACCGTCATCCGGCAGGGTGTCGAACCAGGGGTTGGCCTGTCGAGACGGTACACGGATTTTTGGAGTCGGTAGCGGGGTGTTGCATGTCTTGCAGCAGATACGCGGCCGGCGTCCGTGGCTGGATTAGCTTGTAACAGACTGTATCAAACCTACGCTGGCCTGACAGCACTTAGGGGAATCTCTGTTAATCCCACTTGACCGGAGGCGGAGGCAGTCGGCTGACCGTGGTCGCGAGATACTTTCGACGTAGCGACTGTAACCCGCAGACTTCAGGTGACGAAGGGGAGAACTTCCTCGGTGAACCGCGCCATCTGACCCATCTGGTCCGGAGAGAAGCAGCGAACCTGACGATGAAGTAATCAGCCCCCCGTTCTTTGTACGCCTCTATCGCGTCGATGCACTTCCGGGGCGGTCCGAACACGCACAGCAATTGTTTACTGATGACGTCGTAGGGGACGCTGTAGTACGCCCGCATGAATTGATCTCCCTCGGCCAGGGCGGCGTCGGTATCATCATTCAGATTGACCGAGATATACAGGCAGCGGCCTATGCCCGCCGGGTCGCGGCCCGTTTCCCCAGCGCGTTGTTCGATCCTTTCCCAGCAGCGATCGAACAGGTCCACCGACGGAACGTTGGTTATCCAGGCATCGCCCAGCTCGGCGACCCTGTCCAGGCCGCGGCGCACCCAGTTACTGGAAATCCAGAGGGGAATGGACGGCTGGACGGGTCGGGGTTCCAGCGCGACATAGTGTAGTGGATAAAACTCCCCTGAGTTGCTGACCGGGCCTCCAGTCCATAGCGCGCGCATTACGCGGATGCTCTCCTCCATTCGGGAGGCCCGTTCCATTATCGGAACGCCGACGGCGCTGTGTTCATCGACGAACATCCGGTTGTTGCTGCGACCCGCGCCCAGTCCCAGGACGGTGCGCCCGCCGGAGATGTTGTCGATGGTGGCCGCGGCGTGGGCCAGATGGACGGGATGGCGCAGGGCGTTGAGCAGGACGGCGGTCCCGACCTTGACCCGGTTGGTGCGGGCGGCGATGGCGGCCATGGCCGTCAGGGGTCCAGGCGGGGCTTGGAGGTGATGCTGTCGCCAACCCAAACGGAGTCATAGCTGCTCGCTCCGCGGTCTCGGCCATCTGCCACGTCAGTTCCACCCTTGGGCCGCCGCTGTCGGCGTACACCAGCACGCCCCTTGTGGGTAGCAAGACCCCGAAGTTTTTCACAAGTGCCATCGCGTCCGATTCTCCCGGGCGAGCGTTTATCCGTGCTTTGGGCGCCGGTGGCATTATACATAGCCGGCTTCCACGGGGCGATCAACACGGTAAATGTTCAGAGTTGAAGGTAGTATCCTGGCCCCAACCTGTCTTTCCCGCGAACGCGGGAATCCAGGAAGCCGAGGATCAGCAACATTGCGGTTAAATGGCGTCTCTGGATTCCGGCTCAAGGCCGGAATGACGGAGTGGTATGGAAATCACACGTCGAGTGTGAACTGTTACTCAGCACGGTGTTATCAAGGGGACGGTAGCGTCAACTTCCTCGTCCGGCGCGGTCACAAATCTGGCAATTATCCCGCTGAACAGCAATCGCGCTCATACATCGAGATAGATCCCACGCCGGGCTTGCTCAGGGTCTGGGCGTTTTTGTGCCGATGGACATTGAGACTCACGGATGGCCCAGGTGATTTGGCTGCCGATTCCCGTTATCAGCCCGGAGGAACAGTTATACTGACACGGCAAATTGCCGTATTGATGGATAAACCGTGCCTGGACCTGGTAGGCGAACCTGAAGGGGGAACACGCCAATGCATTGTGGAGTGATGGTCACCGGTTACAACCAAGGTGACTGGGACCGTCTGATGGAGGGCGATTATGACCGCCCGCCGACGATACCGGACGCCGCGAATATGGACGACACTCTCTATATGGGGGAACTGGTCGAGCCGTTGGGGTTCGATTCGATCTGGGCTACCGAACACTACGGTTCTGCCTACTCGATGCAGCCGAACCCATTGCAATACCTGGCATATTGGGCGGGCCGCACCAGTCGAGTCGATGTGGGTACCGCGGTCATCGTCGCACCGTGGTGGAATCCGGTCCGGCTGGCGTCTGAGATCTCCATGCTCGACATTTTGCTGAAAGGCCGGCGCCTGCATCTGGGGATCGGCCGTGGAATCGCGCCGCACGAATACGCTTCTCTAGGCTACCCGATAGAACAGTCGCACAAGTATTTCTACGATGTGATCAACGCCATCAGGGCCGCTGACGGCGCGGAGCGCTTCGAGTTCCAGGGCGAGGTCTACGATATCCCACCGACCAGCATCCGGCCTCAGGCACGCCACAAGGGTGAACTGACCAAGAACATCAAGGTGGCGTTCACCACACGAGGCGTCAGCAAGACTGGCTGCCGAAAACGGTCTGGGACAGATGTTTGTCGCCGGCGACGATGTCGAAGAGATGACCGATAAGGTGCGAAGGTTCAACAAGATTCGGAATGAACTTGGCCTTCCGCCCGACCAGCCTACCACTTTACTGTGGATGTACTGCGCCGAGACCGCGGCGGAAGCCGAAGAGGGGTGGACCTACTTCCACAACCAACTCATCGCGGCCCAGCACCACTACTTCGAATGGAACAATCCAGGCTATGAAGGCATACATGGCTACGAGGAATACCTCTTACGCCAGAATGCCGACGTCGGTACTGCGGATTCCAGCTTCAACGCTCGGCGCGCCACTCAACCCATCGGTACGCCCGACGAGATTATCGAAAAGATCAGGGCGCTCCAGGAGACCATCAGCCTTGAAAGCTCGTGATCCACATGTTTTACGGCGGGATGCCGAGGGACAAGGCCGAAAAAAGCCTCAGACTCTTTGCAGAGAATGTCCTTCCGGAAGTGCAGGCCATGCCCACTCCAGTCAATCCCAATTCCCTGGCGTGACTCCGCCCGTTGGGCAAGTGCGCCCCCTGACATTTTCCCTGAACAATCAGACTGCCGAAATCGGTGGACAACGACGGCGGCAGTGGGTCATTTTTGCCCCCGCCATGATAATCAAGGCACCTGGAGCACCGGGCACTGCGTCGCCATCCATTACGTCGCCACTCAGGGTGCCTGGACCGTTGCATCACACTATGACACAACCTGCTCTCCATCTGGCACGAATCCAGCGACTTCAACTCAGCGCCAGCACCCTGGGGGCGCAACGCGACGCCGGTGCTATCTATCCGGCCGGTATAGACTCACATTACGACGCACTGTTTTACGTTTGAGAAAACATCGTCCACGCTTCGGTCCATAAATACTCGCAGCTGAAGCGGCACGTGCGGGTCGACAATCGGGGTTAACGGCTGGGGACCGCGGCCGAGTTCAGCTCGCGGATGGCGTTGAGCGTTTCAGGGCTGGGTACCTCGCCCATTTCGACGTGTTGGACCGTCTCCCAGGACCGAAGCACTTCTGCCATAACCTCCTGGTCCGACTGGTCAATGTCTATTGGGATGCCATCTGGGCCCATGACTGATAGCCCGTCAGCCAGAACACCTCGGTGGGGTTGTTCTCCGGATCACGGAAGTAGCAACCGATAGCGCTCGCATGAGTCACGATGCGGTCCAGCTGGTACCCGTGCGCCTGGATGCGACGCTTGAAGTCGCGTAGATCGTCGAGGGAGTCTACGCGCATTGAAATCTGCTGAATCCAATGCGGGTCTTCGAGCGAAGGCCGTCCGTTAATCAGTGCTATCTCGTGGTCGACGGCCTCAGGGTCTGCACTGAAAAACGCCCCGAGCGCACCGACCTTGGTCAGCGTCATGCCCATGAAATTCGCATAAAAATCTTTCATTAGATCCAGGTCATGAACGTAGAAACCAATATGACCAAGGCCATTGACTTTCGCTGACATATCTATCTCCTCTTCAAGGTTTGTGAGGCAAACCCATCTTGCCCTTTTCCTCGGTTAGACATCGGGACTGAACACTATGGCAAATAGGATTTCTCGTCGGTTGGCGAAAATTATACCCCTTCTTACTGCCTTGGGGTCAACATGCCCACGTATGAACAATGCGGAAACACTTGGGTCCGCGACGACGGTCTTCCACGACTCGTCTCCAGATACCTCAACGCACCGCCAACCCACCGGGTATGACGCCATCTGAGACACCTGACGTATGAACGCTACCTGCCTTCGCTGTATCCCCCGGTCGCACACCACCTGGAAAGCGATGGCCTAACCCCCTGGAAGGACAGCCGACGGTGAGCGCTGGAGAGGGCTGACCTGACAACAAGCTCGTGAGTCAGGCTAAAGGCCGGCAGTTTCCCAGGCTACGATACAGGGGCGTAGGGGCTGCGCTCCCTTGATGTGCCAGGCGCCGTCCACTTCGTGCAACGAACTATCCAGCGCGCCCTCCAGCCGGGTCATGGCGTCGGTCCCAGGAGTAACATAGATTCGGCGGGCGATCATTTCGCTGGCTTCCTGGCGGCTGCCAAACCCCCGCGACGGTTGTTCGTCCAGCTCTGTCACCTCCAGCCTGATGCCCAACTGCTCCAGAACCGGAAGGAACTCCGGCAGACAAGGCAGCCCGTGGCGTTTTTCGCCGTGAACTTGCTCCCAAAGGCCGTAGAACTGCGATTGCGGCGGAGACTGGAACAGAATGGCCAGTACGAGACGGCGGGCGTGTCTGTCCATCATTCGGACGAAGGGTCCGATGTCCTCTATTACGTAAACCACGTGGCTGCACAGCACTACGTCGGCAGGTTCAACGGAGGCTTCCAGCCAACCAGCCTCGATAATCGAGACGTTTGTGATGTTGGATTCGCTGGCGGTTCCCGCAGCACTGAGCACATGCTGGGCGACGGCTCCACAGCCGTCACCGTGGGACAGGTAAGCGCCAGCGGGAGGGCCAGCCGCCCGCCGCCCGCGCCCACGTCCAGCAGGTTTCACCCGGCCTCAGGCGCGAACGGAGTTCTTCGACCAACGCATCTCCCGCCCGGTGCGGGTCGGCCTTGAACTGCGGCGCGGATTCGGTCCAGTGGTCGGTGGGACGCACGCCCCGCATCCGGTCCGACTGCTCGTGCTCCACCCGCACCATTTCGCCCCAAGTTTCAATTGCGTTCATGTAAGCTTCTCCGTTGAATATCGATCTCGATGGCCCGAAACACTCAGCATCTGCCGGCCACAGCATATTAACTGCAAAGCAGACGGCGCAACATACCGCCACCTCGCACGCGCCCTCCACCGGGTGTTGCAACGCGAAACGAATGGACTCCAGAGCCAGGTGATCGTAGTATCTTGAGAACGTGGCATTAATAGTGACAGTTCTCGCGGTCGTACTGATGGCGCTTGTTGCTGGATGCTACAGCACGCGCCGCCAGCGCAAACAACGGCCCCAGCGCAAACAACGGCCCCAGCACAAACAACGTTCCCAACGCCGCCATCGCCATCTCCCGCACCGCAGTTGGAGACCCTGGGGCTGGAACCGGTGTTGACTGCCAGGTCGTTTCAATCACCCACCAACCTGGTTCAGGCGAACGATGGGCAGGTGTGGGTATCCGAGCAGGGCGGGCGTGTCTGGATATTCAACGAGACGAATCCTGACCACACCGCCGTACCCGAGGCCCTGGACATCACAGACCGAGTGAGTAGCCGCGGTTCCGAAGAGGGGCTGCTGGGTATGGCGTTAGACCCGGAGGACCAACGGCACCTGTACGTCTACTACTCCGCTGCCAACCCGCGCCGTTCGGTGGTCTCGCGTTTCACCATTTCGACTGACAATTCCTCTGCCGACCCGGACAGCGAAATGGTGATCCTGGAAGTTGAACAGCCGTACGCCAACCACAACGGCGGGCAACTCGCCTTCGGGCCGGACGGCTACCTGTACATCGGCCTGGGCGACGGCGGAGCGGCCGGCGACCCGCTGGGCAACGGTCAGGATACGTCAACGCTGCTCGGGACCATCCTGCGAATCGACGTATCCGAGGCCACATTTGACCATCCGTACATCATCCCGCCGGACAACCCTTTCGTCGCAGACGGCGTCGCGCGCGGCGAAATTTGGGCCTACGGCCTGCGTAACCCGTGGCGGTTTGCCTTTGACCGAGACACCGCCGAGCTCTGGGCCGGCGACGTGGGGCAGAACCGTTGGGAGGAAATTGACCTCATCGAGCGGGGAGCCGACTACGGTTGGAATGTGCTGGAGGGCAACCATTGCTTCCGTACCAGGGACGGTTGCGATCGTACAGGAACAGTGCCGCCGGTATGGGAATACTCGCTGGATGGTGAACCGTGCTCTGTTATCGGTGGTTATATCTATCGCGGCTCCACAATCCGGTGGCTGAACGGCGCTTACGTTTACGGCGATTTCTGCTCCGGCAAGGTCTTCGGCCTGCGCTACGTCGACGGCGAGGTGATGGAACACAAGCAACTCCTCGACACCGGCATGAGCATCATGTCTTTCGCCCAGGACAACAACGGAGAGCTATACCTGCTTTCCCAGCAGTCGGGAATCTACCGCCTCTCCAATTAGCAAGCGTGGCCGGGAGCGGCGAACCCCATGCCCAAGCCAAAAAAAATTCAGATTACCGATCTGCCCGGAGATGAGCGGTACGTGATGAGCAATTCCCAACTGAAGGAGTCAGCCATCAACTACGTAACGGAAAACCACGGCCAAGATTACCGGTAAATGAGGGCCGAAGGCGAGCTGCGCGAATATGCAGCCAATGAGGCCCTGCCGACTCGTGCCTCGGCCATCGGCAGCCGTACACCCGGAAACGGATCATCATTCTGGGCGCCGGCCCCTTGTGGCGTAGCCATCAGTTGAGATCTGTACGCCTGCGATACAGATCAGCGCTCTGTAAAAATGGGCTGCGAAAGCCTAAACTGCACCCTGCGTTACAATCTTCTCAGGGCAGCTGCAAGGCCGCCCGAGGACGGGGGTTAACTGGATGAGCCAACTTGACGGCGCCAACACTATTCACTGGAGGGACTGGAGCGAGGAAGCCTTCGAGGCCGCCAGGTCTGAGGACAAGCAGGTGCTGCTAACCCTCGGCGCCACCTGGTGTCACTGGTGCCACGTCATGGATGAGACCGCCTATGCCGACGAACGGGTCATAGAGATTGTCAACTCCCGGTTCATCCCGGTGCGGGTCGACGTTGACCAGCGCCCCGACATATCGCTGCGGTACAACCAGGGTGGTTTCCCGTCGGTGGCGTTCCTGACCGGGAGTGGCGAATTCCTGGCCGGCCGGCCCTACACTCCTCCTGACGAGATGGTCGCCCTGCTGACACAAGTATCCAGCGGCGAAGTCAGGCCGGGCGGTGGTCGCGCCGCAGACCGCACTGCATCGCCTGATCGTGACGGGCCCAACGCCTCCGTAGGTGCGGTGTTGGGCCGGCTGACAGAGCTTTGCGACGAGCAATTCGGCGGCTTTGGGGTGGAACCCAAACAGCCCCCGTGGGAGGCGCTGCAATTCCTTACCGCCCGGTACGGACTCACCGGCGAACGGACAATCCTGAGAATGGTCGAGGCCACCCTGAAGGGAATGTGGCACGGCATCTACGACCGGAAGGACCAGGGTTTCTTTCGTTACTCTGTAAGCCGGGACTGGAAGGTGCCGCACTACGAAAAAATGCTGGTCAGCAACGCCAGCCTGGCAATCGTCTACCTGGAAGCGTTCCAGATTACCCGAAAAGGGGACTACAAAGCCGCCGCCCAGGGCATCCTGAATTACCTGCTGACCACTCTGTTCAGTTCCGGCGATGGGTTGTTCTTCGCCAGCCAGGACGCTGACGAACCCTACTACCTGAGCTCCTGGAAGGACCGCGATTCAGCCGCGCCACCGCCCGTCGACCGCACGTTCTACGCCGGGTGGAATGCGCTAGCCGCCCATGCCCTGATTCAGGCGGCCAAACGTTCTGGGGAATTCGGTTCATCGGCGGCTCGGGGCCGATATTCTTGAAAAACTGCGGGCGGAAAGTTGGACCCCGGCAGGAGGGTTGCGCCGCCGCGTGGGAGAGTTCAACGACGCCACGCCCATCCTGGCCGACCAGGTAGATTTCCTAACGGCCTGGCTGGCCCTGTATCAGTCCACGGGGCAAGCTGACTGCCTGCAACGGGCGGTTGAAATTGCCGACACCGTCGAGCGGCTTTTCGGCGCACCCGACGGCGGCTACTACGACACCACCCCACCCCAGTCCTTCGAGGCAAGGGTCCTGCCGCGGGAGCAGCCAGTGTTGGAGAACAGCAGCTGGGCCGAGGCGCTGCTGGCCCTGTCTCACCTCACCGGCGACGAGGGGTACTCGGATCGGGCCTCCCAAACCCTCAAAATCTTTGAATCCGTGGTCCCCGGGAAGAGCTATCTGGGCGCCCACGCGTCCCGCCGCATGGAGGAGGATGAGGAAGCTTTATTCCTGCCGGCGGGCGCGGCCTGGGGACGGGCGAGGGACCTGCTGTCCCACGGGCCGGTGCGCCTGGTCCTGGTCGGCGATTCGTCCAGTCCAATTTATCGCCGGCTGCACCGGTCGGCATTGCGAATCTACGTTCCCCACCGGGTTGTGCAGCACCTGGACTCGGAGCGTGATGCCGAACAAATCAGCCAACTTGGTTTCCCGCTGCACAAGGGGCCGGCGCTGTACGCTTGCATGGGAGACCGCTGCCTGGCCCCCATCACCACACCCGAGGGTGTTCGGGAAATGGCCCGGTCACGCCCCTGGGCCGCCATGTGACCTGACCACCATAAAGAGGAGATCAATGAGATGACCACTAAGAGCCTATCCTAAAAACTGATTGAAGATTGCAGGGGCGTTGCGGGAAGGAAAGCGGGGGTTGCGTCTAGACTGGGGCAATGACCAAAGCGAAAGACCCCAAGCCGCCACGTCCGAAGCGTGCTGGCCCAGCCACCAAGACCAATCCCACCACCGGCGCGTTCCAGATCTCCGACGAGCTCTGGGAGGTGCTGGCGCCGTTGATCCCCAAGCATGTGAACACCCATCGTTTCGGCGGCGGTCGGCCCCGGGTCCCTGACCGCACCTGCGCCAATGGCATCTTCTACGTGCTGCGCACTGGCTGCCAGTGGAAGGCGCTGGACGCCACGGGCATCTGCTCCGGGTCCACCGCCCACCTGCGCTTTCAGGAATGGGTTGCCGCTGGGGTGTTCCTGGAGCTGTGGCGGGTGGGACTGGAACGCTATGACGAACTGAAGGGGCTGGACTGGAGTTGGCTGAGTATGGACGGCGCCATGACCAAATCGCCCTTGGGCGGGGGGAAAAACCGGCCCCAACCCCACTGACCGCGGCAAAGGCGGGGTCAAGCGTAGCCTGTTGACCGAAGCCCAGGGCATTCCGGTGGGTCTGGCGGTGGACGGGGCCAACCGTCATGACATGAAACTGGTGCGGGCCACGGTGGACAGCCTGCCCGTGCCGCGACCGGCGCCCAGTCCAGACCAACCCCAGGGTATGTGCCTGGATAAAGGCTACGACTTTGACGAGGTGCGACGTACGTTGGACGAGTTTGGCTTCACCGCTCACATCCGCAGCCGGGGCGAGGAGGCCAAGGCCATCAAAAGAGAAGCTGGGTTCAAAGCCAGGCGCTGGGTGGTGGAACGCTCGCACAGCTGGCTGAACCGCTTCCGGCGCATCCTGGTCCGCTGGGATAAGTCTCCCGACAACTACATCGCCTTCCTTCACTTCGCCTGCGCCCTCACCGCCCTCAGAGCTGCTGGGTTATTAGGATAGGCTCTTAGCAAATCTTGTGCGCGTTTGGCGTCGACCTGGATGCCGTTGGCGGTTGGCTGGGATCCTATGGCGGGGAGGACTCCCCCGACGACATCTCCCGCGGATTGTTCGCTGGCGAAGTCGGCACGCCCAGGCTGCTAAAACTTTTCGACCGACTTGATATCAAGACCAGTTGGTTTATCCCGGGCCACTCCATCGAGACCTTTCCGGAAGAGTGCCGCATGATCGTGGAGCAAGGGCATGAAGTGGGCCTCCACGGTTACTCCCACGAGAACCCCATCTCCATGTCCTCAGAACAAGAAGAGGCCGTCCTGCTGCGTTGCATCGATCTGATCACCGAGCTTTCGGGCCAGCGGCCCCGGGGTTACGTTGCTCCATGGTGGGAGTTCAGTCACGTAACCAACGAGCTGCTCCTGAAGCACGGCATCAAGTACGATCACAGCCTGATGCACCGCGACTTCGAATGCTACTACGTCCGAGTCGGCGACCGCTGGACCAAGATTGACTATGCCATGCCTGCCGACCATTGGATGCAGGCTTTGGAACGGGGCGAGGAGACCGACCTGGTGGAGATCCCGGCTAACTGGTACCTGGACGACCTGCCTCCGATGATGTTCATCAAAAAGTCGCCCAACAGCCACGGCTTCACCAACCCCAGGGACATCGAGTCGCTATGGCGAGACCAGTTCGATTGGGTTTACCGAGAATACGACGAAGCAGTCTTCCCGATAACGATCCACCCCGACGTTAGCGGTCGCCCTCAGGTGTTGCTGATGCTGGAACGACTCACTGAGTACATCCGTTCCCACGACGGGGTCCGGTTTGTAACCTTCGAAGAGATAGCCGACGACTTCCTGGCCAAACATCCTCGGCAGCAACCATAGTGCAACCGAACGTCATGCCTCGCGCAAGACTTGCAGTGTCAGCGGCACAAAGCCGTCCAGGATCAGTACCAATTCTGCCTCTACATGACGCATAGCAGCCTGGCTGAATCACCGGTGGGTCCTGCCAGCATAGTAATAGGTTTGGGGCGTGAGAAACGCGGTATGCGCATCGTTGAGAACCAAGACGACTACAGGCCCAACGTAATTATATCAAGCACATGTACGCCGACCTCCTCGCGCGTCCAATGTCCAACCCAATCCGGCAGGAGCCGGTTGCGAACAGTCCGCGAGCCGGGGGATACTAGGGCGCAAACCAACAACCTCAAGACAAGCCGTACCGGCTGGAGTTGACCATGGCATTCGCGCATCCGGAATTCCTCGTTTCGACCCGACTGGCTGGCCGAACACCTGTCGGACAACGACGTCCGCGTCTTCGAGACAACCGTGTTCCTGCATCCACGCGACGGCGGTGGCCGCCGCGTCGAGTCGGGGCGGAGCGAGTATGAGTCGGGACACGTCCCCGGAGCGGGCTTCCTCGACCTTCAGGCCGATTTTTCCGACAACGACCAACTCTGGCGCTTCATGATGCCCTCGGCAGGAGCGTTCGCCGAGGCGGCGGGACGGCAAGGCATCTCGGAGTCATCAAAGCTGGTCCTCTACGACCGCCTGGGCTCACAATGGGCGGCGAGGCTGTGGTGGATGTTCCGCTCGATGGGCTGCGAGGGCGCGGTCGTGCTGGACGGCGGTTGGCGTCGCTGGACGGCAGAGGGCCGTGCCGTCTCGACCGACCCCGCGACGTACGCGCCCACGACCTTCACCTCCAGGGCCGATCCGGCGCGCTTCGCTGACCTTGTCGAGGTTAAGGAGTTCATCGAGTCGGGAGATGGGGGTGGGAGCTGCCTGATCAACGCCCTCGGACGGGAGCAGCACTCGGGCGCCGACGGCGGGAGAGACTACGGTCGCACCGGGCACATTCCCGGTGCGACCAACGTACCCTCGATGGAGCTGACCGATCCCGAGACCGGCCTTTATCGTCCGGCGGAGGAGCTGGCGTTGCTCTTCGAACAGGCGGGCGCGGACCGCACGCAGCGCGTGGTCACGTACTGCGGGGGCGGCATCGCGGCGTCGAACGACGCCTTCGTACTCGCAATGTTGGGTTACGAGAATGTCGCCGTCTACGATGCCTCGATGTCGGAGTATGCCGAGGATCCGTCGCTGCCGCTGGAGGTCGCCTGAGCGCCTCGGCGGATTCGACGTGGTACGCTAGCCGAGACCGTACGACAACACAATCTGGTGCAGCGAGCCGCCAGACAGGAGGTGAGCCATGACGCAGGCTGCCACGCTTAACGATACCCTTGAATTCGGACTGTTCGACTGGATCGAATGGGACAAGTCTGCACCCAACGAGATCTTAAAACCGGCTCAAGATGCTGGAATACGCCGACCGGAGCGGGTTCTACAGCTACCACCTTGCGGAGCACCACATAACCCCCTTGAGCGTATCGCCTTCGCCGGCAGTGTTCCTGGCAGCCGCAGCCCAACGCACCTCAAAACTGCGCCTGGGACCCCTGGTCTTCCTGATGCCCTTCTACAACCCCATCCGCCTGTTCCACGAAATCTGCATGTTGGATAATCTCAGCAACGGACGCCTGGATCTGGGGGTGGGCCGGGGAGTCTCTCCGATAGAAGCCGAGAAGTTTGACGTTGACCTGGACACCAGTTGGGAAGTGTTCAATGAGCAGATGGACATGTTCACCAGCAGCTTCACTACCGGCATGCTCAATCACCAGGGAAAGCACTACAACTACGAGGACATAGAACTCTGGATCAAGCCCTATCAGAAACCCTATCCCCCGCTCTGGTACGCCAGCAACAACATCGCAACGGTGCCGTGGATGGCCCAGCATGGCTTCAACACCTGCACTGTGTTCGGCGACAACGCTGGCATCAAGGCCCACTTTGACCTGTACAAGCAGGTCTGGAACGCCGAGCGGATGTCCGACGGGCTGAATAGCCATGTGCCCGTTCCCAAGCTGGGACTCGTCCGCCACATATACATCGCTGCCACCGACGAACAGGCCAGAGCAGAAGCCAGGCCGGCCTATCAGGCATGGTTCCACAACATCGACTATCTGTGGGCCAAGGCCGGCATCAACCAACTGAGCGCTATGAAGGATTTCGACCAACTCGAAACCAGGGATGTGGTAATCGTGGGCTCACCGTCAAACGTCAGGGAGCGGGTCCAGCGGGCAATTGACGAAACGGGCATCAACTACTTTTGCCCCATATTCGCATGGGGTGACCTGACTCCTGACCAGGTCATGCGCTCTATGCGCCTGTTCGTCGATGAGGTCATGCCCAACCTGCGGCCCGGCCGCTAGTCCCATCTTCTGCCCGGGGAGGGTTGGAGAGCGGATGTCCCCAACCGATCGGGACACACTCGTTCCAGTTCCCGGGCGCAGTCGAGTCACATACAGGAGTCGCGAAAATGTCCTCGGATACCCCCTACGCTCCGCCAAGCGCCGAATCGATCAGCAGGGCCATCGAGGCCCTGGCTGCCCGCAACGTAGACGCCGTTTTGGTGGGGAGCCGGGAGGCGGCATTAACCAAGCTGCGGGAATTGGTGCCCGAGGGTTGCGAGGTTTTCGTCAACACGTCGGAGACACTGGACGCCATCGGTTACACGGAATATATGCACGGTAACGACCGCTACATCAACCTGCACGACCAGATGATGTCCCAGCCCGACCCGGCATCCCAGAGGGAGTTCCGCCGCAAAACCACCACCGCCGACTACTTCGTGGGCAGCGTGCAGGCCATTGCCGAGACCGGCGAGATTGTCATCGCCAGCAGCTCCGGCAGCCAGATTGGGGCTTACTCCTACGGCGCCCGACGCGTCATCCTAGTGGCGGGCACGCAGAAAATCTGCCCCACGCTATCCGACGCCGAGGCCCGCACCCGCGGGTTCACCCTGGAGCGCCACGACCGCTGGTTGGAAGGCCGGGGCGTAGCTCCCACTCCCATCGGCAAATATCTCGTGATGGAGCACGAGCCTGTAGTCGGCCGCATTTCAATGGTTCTCATTCCCGAGAGCATCGGCTGGTAAAACGGCCTCAAGGACATCAAACGTAAATGTAGGGGCGCACAGTCTCGCCCGCCTTAACTTTTCGTTGTCGCCACGGAGATGGAGGGCCTCCTCGGGCAGCAAACCTGAGAAACCCCGGTGAGCTGGCGGGAAGTATGATGGGTCGAGCATTGAATGGATGGAGCCGCGCCGGCCAAACCGTTAGTCTCTGCCACCCACAGACCCCAGTTCGGAACGTAGTAACATCCGCTAACCTGGACGGACAGCGCTTAAAAAGGGGCAAATTCAAGGACAAAATATTGCAGGGTGCGAAACGAGTTCATCGTCCTCGCTGGCTGCCAAGGGCGGCGCGGAAACAAACCAATGGGACGGCGAAATCTGTACCACCAGCAGAAGCCGATGGCTTGGCAGTGATATTGGCCGCCATTCCGAAGGGGAACAAACAACATCGAAACCCAAACGGCGCAAGCAGGACATAGTGAGGTATAACAAAGCGTGGTTTATGGCCGTGCTTGCGCTTACCGTGTTTGCCACCATAAGCGCGACTCTGATCATTCCGCCGCTGTTGGTGGAAATCTCATCGGACCTGGAAATATCGGTCGCCGTCGCGGGCCAGTTGGCTACCGCGACATTCGCGGGTTGGGCGATTATGGTGGTCTCGGGTGGTCCCTTGTCCGACTCGTTCGGCCGCCGCCCCGTGGCCCTGGTCGGGTTGACGGTCCTTTCGATATCCGTCCTGGCGTCCGCCTTCGCGCCGAGCCTGAAAATTCTGTTGGCGTTGCGGGTTTTGACCGGTTTGGCCGGGGG